GAAAAGGAGAAAGGGTGGGTGGGCGGGGCTACTAATTGTGTTCTTTTGTCGAGTAGGAGTGGAAACTAATAGAATAGAATCTACGATGTGAAAAAAGTAAAAAAATTTAACCATTTCTGAAAATATATAAGAACCACAAAGTACTTGAAACAATTGGTTGAAAATGTTAAAAGTGCCAAAATCAATCTTATCTTATCAAATAGTAGCCCCGCCCACCCGCCCTCTATTTTCTTGGAAGGTATGTTATTTGCCAAATCAGTCTTGTCTTAGCAAGTACTAGCTGCGCTCACCCCCCTCTTCTCATTCTAACGACTAATTTTATTTCTGTTCAGGATAAGAGCATTCATTTCATTCGGATAAAAACAGTCACTGAAAAGGAGACAGGGTGGGTGGGCGGGGCTAATTATGTTGTTCTGTCGAGAGGGAGTGGAAACTAATAATTAATAGAATCTCGGATGTGAAAAAAGTAAAAAAAAAAAAACGCTAATCGTAACTGTTTTTGTTTTAGTATTTGCTACAAAATTTATTTCTTATTTCGTGCACCTGACCTGATCTAACTTCTCTATTGTCCCAAATAAACTAATTTTAAATATTTGTGTAGATATATAACAATTACAAAGTACTTTCTTGAAACAATTGTATTTTGTGAAACAAAAATTGACAATAATTGTCTTTTTTATTTACAAAATTTTCATTGCGATTGATTTTGACGAAACTGTAAAAATTGATGTACATATTTCAATTAGTGATTTTGGAAAAACGGTAGGAATTTCAGAAGAAGCGAAGCCGAAAATGACTTCCGGATATCGAAATCTCCAAAGAAAATGTTTTGATTTAATTTTCGGATACATGTAGTTGAAAAATGGTCGAAAATGTCAAAAGTGCCAAAATCAGTATTTTCTTATCAAATTTTCAAAAATTCGCATTTCGTACCGATTCTTTCGAAAATGTTGCTCCGTGACCATCAGCACGCTATATTTTTGGAATCAGCACGTCGAGATCTACGTCCCTAAATTTTTTCACAATTTTTTGACAACTTTTTTAAAAGTGAAATGTTTCCAATGGTCCCCCCTTCTTCAAATTTCGGTGAATTTTTGACATTTTCGAAACTTAACTAAACACATTTTCTTATAGATTTCGAGCTGTAGAGCTCACTACCGGCGTCGTTTCTTTGATAACTGCAACCGTTCTTCCAGAATCGACAGTCAAAATATCGAAATTTTTAGAAATTTTCAAAAATTCGCGTTTCGTACCGATTCTTTCGAAAATGTTGCTCGGTGACCATCAACACGCTATATTTTTGGAATCAGCACGTCGAGATCTACGTCCCTGAATTTTTTCACAATTTTTAGACATCTTTTTCAAAACTGAAATTTTTCCAATGGTCCCCCTTCTTCAAATTTCGGTCAATTTTTGACATTTTCGAAACTTAACTAAACACATTTTCTTGTAGATTTCGAGCTCTAGAACTCACTTTCGGTCTCGTTTCTTTGATAACTGCAACCGTTTTCCCGGAATCGACCATCGAAATATCGAAATTTTTAGAAATTCTCAAAAATTCGCATTTCGTAGTGATTCTTTCGAAAATGTTGCTCGGTGACCATCAACACGCTATATTTTTGGAATCAGCACGTCGAGATCTACGTCCCTGAATTTTTTCACAATTTTTAGACAACTTTTTTAAAAGTGAAATTTTTCCAATGGTCCCCCTTTCTTCAAATTTCGGTTAATTTTTGACATTTTCGAAACTTAACTAAATACATTTTCTTGCAGATTTCGAGCTCTAGAACTCACTTTCGGCTTCGTTTCTTTGATAACTCCAACCGTTTATCCGGAATCGACCGTTGAAATATTGAAATTTCTAAAAATTTTCAAAAATTCGCATTTCGTACCTTTTCTTTCGAAAATGTTACTCTGTGACCATCAACACGCTATATTTTCGGAATCACTATGTCAAGATCTACGTCCTTGAATTCTTTCACAATTTTTAGACAACTTTTTTAAAAGTGAAATTTTTCCTTCAAATTTCGGTCAATTTTTGACATTTTCGAAACTTAACTAAACACATTTTCTTATGGATTTTGACCTCTAGAGTTCACTTCCGGTCTCGTTTCTGTGATAACTCCAACCGTTTTTCCGGAATCCACCGTTGAAATATCGACATTTTTAGAAATTTTCGAAAATTCGCAATTCGTACCGATTCTTTCGAAAATGTTGCTCTAGAACGCACTTTCGGCCTCAATTCTTTTGATAACTGCAACCGTTTATCCGGAATTGACCGTTGAAATATCGAAATTTTTAGAAATTTTCAAAAATTCGCATTTCGTACCGATTCTTTCGAAAATGTTGCTCCGTGACCATCAGCACGCTATATTTTTGGAATCAGCACGTCGAGATCTACGTCCCTAAATTTTTTCACAATTTTTTGACAACTTTTTTAAAAGTGAAATGTTTCCAATGGTCCCCCCTTCTTCAAATTTCGGTGAATTTTTGACATTTTCGAAACTTAACTAAACACATTTTCTTATAGATTTCGAGCTGTAGAGCTCACTACCGGCGTCGTTTCTTTGATAACTGCAACCGTTCTTCCAGAATCGACAGTCAAAATATCGAAATTTTTAGAAATTTTCAAAAATTCGCGTTTCGTACCGATTCTTTCGAAAATGTTGCTCGGTGACCATCAACACGCTATATTTTTGGAATCAGCACGTCGAGATCTACGTCCCTGAATTTTTTCACAATTTTTAGACATCTTTTTCAAAACTGAAATTTTTCCAATGGTCCCCCCTTCTTCAAATTTCGGTCAATTTTTGACATTTTCGAAACTTAACTAAACACATTTTCTTGTAGATTTCGAGCTCTAGAACTCACTTTCGGTCTCGTTTCTTTGATAACTGCAACCGTTTTCCCGGAATCGACCATCGAAATATCGAAATTTTTAGAAATTCTCAAAAATTCGCATTTCGTAGTGATTCTTTCGAAAATGTTGCTCGGTGACCATCAACACGCTATATTTTTGGAATCAGCACGTCGAGATCTACGTCCCTGAATTTTTTCACAATTTTTAGACAACTTTTTTAAAAGTGAAATTTTTCCAATGGTCCCCCTTTCTTCAAATTTCGGTTAATTTTTGACATTTTCGAAACTTAACTAAATACATTTTCTTGCAGATTTCGAGCTCTAGAACTCACTTTCGGCTTCGTTTCTTTGATAACTCCAACCGTTTATCCGGAATCGACCGTTGAAATATTGAAATTTCTAAAAATTTTCAAAAATTCGCATTTCGTACCTTTTCTTTCGAAAATGTTACTCTGTGACCATCAACACGCTATATTTTCGGAATCACTATGTCAAGATCTACGTCCTTGAATTCTTTCACAATTTTTAGACAACTTTTTTAAAAGTGAAATTTTTCCTTCAAATTTCGGTCAATTTTTGACATTTTCGAAACTTAACTAAACACATTTTCTTATGGATTTTGACCTCTAGAGTTCACTTCCGGTCTCGTTTCTGTGATAACTCCAACCGTTTTTCCGGAATCCACCGTTGAAATATCGACATTTTTAGAAATTTTCGAAAATTCGCAATTCGTACCGATTCTTTCGAAAATGTTGCTCTAGAACGCACTTTCGGCCTCAATTCTTTTGATAACTGCAACCGTTTATCCGGAATTGACCGTTGAAATATCGAAATTTTTAGAAATTTTCAAAAATTCGCATTTCGTACCGATTCTTTCGAAAATGTTGCTCCGTGACCATCAGCACGCTATATTTTTGGAATCAGCACGTCGAGATCTACGTCCCTAAATTTTTTCACAATTTTTTGACAACTTTTTTAAAAGTGAAATGTTTCCAATGGTCCCCCCTTCTTCAAATTTCGGTGAATTTTTGACATTTTCGAAACTTAACTAAACACATTTTCTTATAGATTTCGAGCTGTAGAGCTCACTACCGGCGTCGTTTCTTTGATAACTGCAACCGTTCTTCCAGAATCGACAGTCAAAATATCGAAATTTTTAGAAATTTTCAAAAATTCGCGTTTCGTACCGATTCTTTCGAAAATGTTGCTCGGTGACCATCAACACGCTATATTTTTGGAATCAGCACGTCGAGATCTACGTCCCTGAATTTTTTCACAATTTTTAGACATCTTTTTCAAAACTGAAATTTTTCCAATGGTCCCCCCTTCTTCAAATTTCGGTCAATTTTTGACATTTTCGAAACTTAACTAAACACATTTTCTTGTAGATTTCGAGCTCTAGAACTCACTTTCAGTCTCGTTTCTTTGATAACTGCAACCGTTTTTCCGGAATCGACCGTCGAAATATCGAAATTTTTAGAAATTCTCAAAAATTCGCATTTCGTAGTGATTCTTTCGAAAATGTAGCTCGGTGACCATCAACACGCTATGCTTTTGGAATCAGCATGTCGAGATCTACGTCCCTGAATTTTTTCACAATTTTTAGACAACTTTTTTAAAAGTGAAATTTTTCCAATGGTCCCCCCTTCTTCAAATTTCGGTCAATTTTTGACATTTTCGAAACTTAACTAAATACATTTTCTTGTAGATTTCGAGCTCTAGAACTCACTTTCGGTCTCGTTTCTTTGATAATTGCAACCGTTTTTACGGAATCGACCGTCGAAATATCGAAATTTTTAGAAATTCTCAAAAATTCGCATTTCGTAGTGATTCTTTCGAAAATGTTGCTCGGTGACCATCAACACGCTATATTTCTAGAATCAGCATGTCGAGATCTACGTCCCTGAATTTTTTCACAATTTTTAGACAACTTTTTTAAAAGTGAAATTTTTCCAATGGTCCCCCCTTCTTCAAATTTCGGTCAATTTTTGACATTTTTTAAACTTTCGTTTCTTTGATAACTCCAATAGTTTTTCCTGAATTGTTCGTTGAAATATCGAAATTTTTAGAAATTTTCAAAAATTCCCGTTTCGTAAAGATTGTTTCGAAAATATTACTCACTAGTGAGCCCATAAACCCACCTTGATGCTGCAAATACAGCGGCGGCGTGAACTCCCCACCCACGCTGTTCTCAAAATACTTCAAAACCCAATTAAACAACTCCGGGTGGCTGCCTCCAGGTCCCGTCGGCCTATGAAAATCCACCAGTTGACATTTAATTCTGAGGAACGACAACAGCGTCACCACTTCCGTGGCCCCGATCCACTTCCTGGTGTTCACCAGCCGGCAGCCCAGCTGCTCGGAACCCTGGATATCGAACCCTTGCGCCCACGCCTGCTCTATGAGGCTCTGGAGGCGGGATATGCTCGGAACGGAACTGCGCGGCGGCTTCTGGCCCTGCCATAGTTTGTACAACCTCTCGTTATACCTGCCGGGAAAAAAACGAGAATAGTATAGTATAAAAGTATCCAATCATTTAAAATCGTAAAGCCCAACATTTCATCTACTTCTTTATATTATCAAAATACACGGAGTATCCGAAACAAACTAGGCCAACTTTCAATTTCGGTTTTAGATTTAACTTATGACATTATTTGCATCACAGAGACTTGGTTACAAGACTCTATTTCTGATTCCGAAATTTTCCCTCCTCACTTATACACAATTTTTAGATGTGACCGTAATTATAATGCATTGAACTTGTCCAGAGGAGGTGGTGTTTTGCTTGCTTTGAGAACCCATATATCTGTGACAATTGTTGATTTAAGTCAATTACGGAATGATCTAGATATGATTGAAATTGTAGGTTGTAAATGTTTTTTAAATGGTACCTTTTTACACATTTTTGTTGTTTATTTTTGTAGAACTCCATCACTTAATGAGTTGTTAAGGTTTTGTGAATATTTTGAAGATAACTTTAATACAAATGAAAATTTCTTATTACTGGGTGACTTTAACGTTCCAGAATTCATAATAAACAATGATAATATTCTTGTTAATACTCTTAATAATTTTTGTAAATTTTTAAATTTAGAGCAATACAATGTTATTAAAAATAGAAACAGCAGGCTACTAGATCTTGTTTTTGCTAATGTTGATTGTTCTGTCAAACACGATGATTCCCCTTTAATTGTAGAGGACAGCTACCACCCTGCTCTCTCTATTGTGGTTAACATAACTAACACTACATTTAATAGCTTCCCCACTAATAATTCACCTAATACTAGTGTATATAACTTTAAAAAAGCCAGGTTTCACTTCCTCTATCATGATCTGTGTAACATTGATTGGACAGTTTTAAATACTTCTGATGACATTAATATTCTAACCGAGCGTTTTTATGACATTTTATATCAAGTTTTGGATAAGCATGTTCCAGTATATCATAATCATCAAGATAAATTACAGTATCCACCTTGGTTCGATCTCTCTATTATTAAAAATATTAAATTTAAATCTTATTATCACAAAAAATTTGAACAGTCACTTAACGAATTTTACTACTCTAAATTTAAATATTACCGTAAGATTATTAAAAACCAAATAAAATCTGCTTACAAAAAATATACTGACTCTATGCAAACAAATATTTCCAAAGATCCTAAAATATTTTGGTCTTATGTTAAATCAAAAAAAGGTCTTACAAGAATTCCGGGTAAGATGGCTTACAATGATAATAATATCTGGTTGACCGAGCTTCACTCGGCTCGTTTGGTAGTATTAGATCAGCAGATTAGGACAGATAAATATGCGTATAGTATGCATTTTGAAGTACACGCGCTAGTTAAAAATACACATTAAAAAAGAAATTCCATAAGCAGTCTTTGTTTTAAATAGTGATAAGTGACATGTAGAGATTAAAGAATGGAAAACTGGAATTATTGCTTGACATTTTTATTAAAATCTCATTTGTTACCCAAGTTCTCTCTCTGTCGTTCTCTTTTTTTCCTAGTTCTCTCTCTCGACTCTAGAAAAAGGTCACAACCACTGTCTTACTGCCAGAATGGTTTCGCCTCTGATGTGATTAACATACTGAGTTACCGTGCTCTTTTGCGTTATTTCTAATTTCTCAATCTCAACCCTGCTCCCGAAGATGCCACTTACGAAAGTGTGCGAAAAGTTGAGCCCAAAAACTGAAATAATACGGTACCATCCCGGAAAACGATCACATATTGACCCTGACCGTCGAACCTCTGAAATGAATGCTTGACAACATAACCTTAACTCAACGCACTTTCGTGTGCCTTTTATCCGCTCACTGTTTAGTTTTCCGTAAATTTTGTCACCTCAGAGGGTGAATTTTAACGTCCTCTATACAGTGGAGTATGTTTCGGTACGTACAATTGAAGATAAAAAGGTACGTCAAACGTACTGTCAGACTGTCACCCAAACTTCTCTTATAAAACAATCTCGTGTTCGTGTAGTGTCATCCGATGTTACCTAGCAACGAATATAATTCACTGCCTGAAAATTGCTGAAAATGTATGAAGCTGTAATTTTCAGAAGTTAAAACTATGATGAATCGATTTCTTGACCCAAAAAACCCCCAACCTGTAAATTTCATCGAAATCGTTAGAGCCGTTTTTGAGAAACCCATTATATATATAGATATATATTTATATATATATATACAAACTTTGCTCGTTTAATAGTATAAGATATTAAATTCACTTAATGACATAGTTAATGCATTCGCTATGTATTTTCAGACTTCTTACACTTCGTCGCAAAATTCATCGTCACAAAAATTTACAACTGGAGTTCACTCTCTTCCCATAAATATCAGTAAAATCACTGATAAAGACATCTTGTCTGCTTTACGTAATATTAAAAATTCTTTTACAGCAGGGCCAGATCAAATACCAAGCTTTCTATTACGTGACTGTGCAGGTTTGTTTGTCCAGCCTCTGTCAATAATCTTTAATGTTGCTCTTAGTACTGGTACTTTTCCCTCAAAATGGAAAACCTCTAAAGTTACCCCGATATTTAAATCAGGTGAAAAATCGAATGTCAGTAATTATCGACCAATATCCATAATTTCAAACTTCGCTAAAATCTTTGAGATAGTTCTGTACTCGCATATCTATTTTCATATTCAGAATTACATAACACCTCAACAGCATGGTTTTATGAGTAAACGCTCCACTGAAACAAATCTCACATGTTTTTCACAATTTCTTTCAGAGGCACTTGACAATCAGTCCCAAGTTGACACTGTTTACACAGACTTTGCAAAGGCCTTCGACCGAATTGATCACAGGTTATTATTGTTAAAGTTAGAATCGTACGGTTTTTCTGGTAAATTTTTGGAACTTATAAGATCATACTTAAGTGATAGATTGCAATACGTTTTTTACAATGGTTTTTCATCATTCTTCTTTAAGGCAGTATCCGGTGTTCCCCAGGGCTCCAATCTTGGGCCCCTACTTTTTTCTGTTTTTATCAATGATCTCCCTGATTCACTGAATTGTCACATTCTATTATATGCAGATGATGCTAAGCTTTTTTGTATTATAAATGATCTTAATGATGCTTTGCAACTTCAGGAGGATTTACATAAACTTACAATTTGGTGTTCTAATAATAACTTCTTCTTGAATATTAGTAAATGTAAAATTGTGTCATTTGGTAATAAAAAATCTCTTATTGTATTTGATTACACAATAAATGGAGAACACGTCACCAGGTGTGATGTTGTAAAAGATTTGGGAATTTATTTTGATTCTCGGCTCTCTTTTCGGTTCCATATTGATGAAGTAGTAAAACATTCACTATCTTTGCTTGGATTTATAATTAGACAATGGCGTGACTTCACTTCTACTGAACCTATGAAAATGCTGTTTAATACGTACATTATATCACGCTTACAGTATGGTTGCCTAATTTGGTATCAAATCTATTATTGCTATATTAATGTCATCGAATCAGTTAAAAAAAAATTTCTTAAATATTTATGGTTTAAAAAATATGGCACCTACCCTGCTAGAGGATGTGACAATTTGATACTTCAAAGAGAGTTTAATATACCGTCTTTACATGCTAGAAGAGAAGTTAGTGCTGTAATGTTTCTTTTTAAAATCGTCAATTATAAAATTGACTGCAGTGAACTTTTGGCCAAAATCTTCTTTTATGTACCACGTGTAAATAACAGACACTCTTTACCTTGGCATCTATCCACCGCTCGCACAAATATTTTGGTAAAAAGCCCGATTAATGTTATGTGTAGTAATTTTAACAACAAACTGAGAGATTGTGACATTTTTTAATATAAATCTAAAAGATCTTAAGTATTTAGCTTTAAGTATCTTCGCAAGAGAGTAATTATTAATTATCACTTATGTTTAGAATTATTATTATTATTATTAATATTATTATTTTTTTTACTTTATCTTATCTTTTTCGTCTGTTTTCTACTTGCTAAGTAACTCTTAATTTAGACTTATTATTCAGGTATTCGGTATATTTATTTGTATTTATTTATTTACTTTTCTTTTTTTTGTATTGATAATATACTTTCGTTTGTATCAATTGCTCTGTAATAGGTTCATATGAGCTGTTGGGCAATAAACATATTATTATTATTATTATTATTATTAAAAATTCTCTTTTGAACACATAGACTAGAAGTCTTAAAACACCTACCCGGTGTGGGTCAGCAGGCTCGAGATCAGCATCTGCGTGTTCCTGTAGCCGCACCCCCATCCCCTGTCGCCGTACGAGGAGGCGTAGTGGTCGACGCACGTGCACAGCAGCGTGCGGACCACGTTGGGGGCGTTGCTGCTCATCGCGCGCACCCTCGGCACTATGCTTCTCGTGACCGAGCTGCCGTCGTCGATGCCGCAGCTCTCGGCGGCGCGCAAATCCAGCGTCCGCTCGTAGTAGTCGGCGACGCTCATCTCGCCGGCGTAGACCGCCCGCTGCATGTTGGTCACCGACTGCTCGCGGAAGTTACCCTGATTGTCCATTCCGTACTGGGCCCTCAGCATCTCGAACTCGCGCTGTTCGCGCTCGCGCAACGCCGCTCGCTCCGCCGGCTGCGGAGAGCCGGCCGGGAAGTGGCTCTCGACGTGGCGGGCGGCGCTCTCGCTCTGGAACAAAAACACAAACAAATTAAATCAGAGTCATCGACTTGTGTCAAGCTAAAAACACTAGCGTTTACGGAATTGTCATATTTGTTCCCATTGTTTAAATTATTTTTTTATTAAGACTATAGTTTCTGATACTTTTAAAGAGAATAAAAAAATACTTTATTGCGATTTTTTGTGAACATCTGGACTGTTAAAAAATTGCAAGAAAAGAATATATATATTTTTTAAATATGTTCGATATTTTAGGTCTATATTACCGAAGTTTCTAAAAAATCTTACGTAATTAATTGTGAAATTAATTTAACCTTGACTTTTTCGCAGCAAATTAAAAATATGTAAATTTGGATTATTACACCAAAAGTCAAAATTTAGACAGAACTTTCCTCCACCTGAAATTTCTTAAAAAACATACATTATGTATACAAGTTAAAATAATGACGTACGTGGACTGGTAAACTACTGATAAAGAAGCATGCTGTGGATTTGTTTCAAATGAGTTTTTAAAGAAACATACATCCTTATTATGAATACAATTTTGTGGCATGTCATCAACTTTTTGGCAAAGAGAAGAGAAACGACAACAAAACGCAGCAAAAAGTGGCGAAACTAAAGACTAATAAAAAACGATAAAAACCGTGATTAAATATGGAACAAAAAAAGGTGCCACAACACGACGAAATAAGCAACCAAAAAAATAAAAAAACTCACCAAAAAGACGACTAAAAGGGCAAAAAAGGCGACAAAGAGGCAAAAAATGGTATCAAAGCGGTCCATAAAAACGCAACAAAACTACTAAAATGCTAATAAAAAAAATGGGGCAAAAAATGCGATAAAAAATTAAAAACCACTCTCAAAAAAAAAAAAAAATAAAAAGAGACAAAAAATGGTTCATAACAGGTGAGAATAAAGGGGGTCAAAAGGCGACAAAAATGATTAAAAAACAATATAAAAAGTAGGACTAGTATACAGTTACAGTGTAACAGAAAAAAATAAGATTTCACATTCTTAAAAAAAAAACATTTGGCGACCCCGAGAAAGTTTTAATTTTTAAAAAAGGCAGTTGGTACCCCCGAGAAGGTTTTACATTTTTAAAAAAGACATTTGAGGCCCCCGAGAAGATTTTACATAAAAAAAAGACATTTGGCGCCCCCGAGAAAGTTTTACATTTTTAAAAAAGACAGTTGGAATCCACAAGGTTTCACATTCCTTAAAAAAATACATTAGGGGCCCCCGAGAAGGTTTTACATTTTCAAAAAAGACAGTTGGAACCCCTGAGAAGGTTTCATATTTTTTAAAAAAGACATTTGGCGCCCTTGAGAAGGTTTTACATTTTTTTACATTAAAAAAAAAGAGAGTTGGGACCCCCGTGAAGGTTTCACATTATAAAAAACACATTTGGGGGCCCCGAGAAGGTTTTATATTTTTAAAAAAGACAATTGGGACCCCCGAGAAGGTTTCACATTCCTTACAAAAAATACATTTGGGGCCCCCGAGAAGGTTTTACGTTTTTAAAAAAGACAGTTGGTACTCCCGAGAAAGTTTTACATTTTTAAAAAAGACAGTTGGCAACCCCGACAAGGTTTCACATTCTTTAAAAAAATACATTTGGGGCCCATTTAAAAAAGACATTTGAGGCCCCCGAGAAGATTTTACATTGAAAAAAAAAAAGACATTTGGCGCTCCCGAGAACGTTTGACATTTTTAAAAAAGACAGTTGAGACCCCCGAGAAGGTTTCAGATTATAAAAGACACATTTGGGGCTCCCGAGAAGGTTTTACATTTTTAAAAAAGACAATTGGGACCCCCGATAAGGTTTCGCATTCCTTAAAAAAAGACATTTGGGCCCCCCGAGAAGGTTTTACATTTTTAAAAAAGACAGTTGGAATCCCTGAGAAGGTTTCATATTTAAAAAAAAAAAGACATTTGGCGCCCTTGAGAAGGTTTTACATTTTTTTACATACAAAAAAAAAGAGAGTTGGGACCCCCGAGAAGGTTTCACATTATAAAAAATACATTTGGGGCCCCCGAGAAGGTTTCACATTCCTTATAAAAAATACATTTGGGGCCCTCGGGAAGGTTTTACGTTTTTAAAAAAGACAGTTGGTACCCCCGAGAAGGTTTTACATTTTTAAAAAAGACAGTTGGGATCCCCGACAAGGTTTCACATTCCTTAAAAAAATACATTTGGGGCCCATTTAAAAAAGACATTTGAGGCCCCCGAGAAGATTTTACATTGAAAAAAAAAAAAAGACATCTGGCGCTCCCGAGAAGGTTTTACATTTTTAAAAAAGACAGTTGGGACCCCCGAGAAGGTTTCAGATTATAAAAGACACATTTGGGGCTCCCGAGAAAGTTTTATAGTTTTAAAAAAGACAGTTAGAACCCCTGAGAAGGTTTCATATTAAAAAAAAAGACATTTGGCGCCCTTGAGAAAGTCTTACATTTTTTACATACAAAAAAAAAGAGTGAGTTGGGACCCCCGAGAAGGTTTCACATTATAAAAAACACATTTGCGGTCCCCGAGAAAGTTTTACATATTTAAAAAAAGACAATTGGGACTCCCGATAAGGTTTCACATTCCTTAAAAAAATACATTTGGGGCCCCCGAGACGGTTTTACGTTTTAAAAAAAGACAGTTGGTACCCCCGAGAAGATTTCACATTTAAAAAAGACATTTGAGGCCCCCGAGAAGATATTACATTGAAAAAAAAAAAAGACATTTGGCGGTCCCGAGAAGGTTTTACATTTTTAAAAAAGACAGTTGGGACCCCCGAGAAGGTTTCAGATTATAAAAGACACATTTGGGGCTCCCGAGAAGGTTTTACATTTTTAAAAAAGACAGTTGGAACCCCTAAGAAGGTTTCATATTTTTAAAAAAAGACATTTAGCGCCCTTGAGAACGTTTTACATTTTTAAATAAAGAGGGGCATATATAAGAGTTAAATCAAGTAAACATAGAATTCTTTGAAATGACGTCATCAAATTGTTGGTAGGGATGATTAGCAAAATTTTGGTTACCATTTAACCATGTACATGATATTTCTAATATATACTAAGTGACATGGAAAGCAGAACACCCAGTAATAGTAAGAATATTTTAATAATTTTTTGTATAAATTTGTATTAGTGTAAGATAAATAAATGATCAGTTTTTCTGCCGTATCCGTAGTAGTAGTACTTGTCAAGATGAGACTGATTTTGGCAAATCACATATTCGCTACAAAAATAAAGGGTGGGTGAGCGGGGTTAGTATCTGCCACGATAATTAAGACGATCTCTACTGAAAAAATAATTAAAAAACGGGAGTTTTTTTCCTCCGAACACTTCAAAAATTAGCCATTGTTTATGAATTTAGATTTGTAGAAGTTATTTTCGGTTCCATTTCTTCGAAAATTCCAACAATTTTACCAGAAATGATCAAATGAAAAAATGTCAATTTCCGAGGCAAAAACTCAGTATCAAACAAAATTTTTCAAAAATTTCTGTTTTTTTAAATAAAAAAATTCTTTGAGTATTTTTAACCAACTTTTCAAAACTCTCAAATTTTCAGTACCTTTCTCCGCCGTATACATTTTTTTAGCGTTTTTCGAGCATGGATCGGAAATTACTCAGACATTTTCTTGTAGATTTCAACTGGTTCTTGTAGATTACAACTTTTGAGTTTCATATTATTATCTTCAAAATTCCAAATCATTTTTCCAAAAATGATAAAATGAAAAATGACAATTTTCAAGATGTATATTTGAAAAATTTCATGAATCACTTCAAATTTTGATCATTTACTTCTATTGCCGTATTAACCACGTATATCAAAAATTATAAAAAAAATGCTTACTATTACTGGGTGTTCTGATTTTCATATCACTGAGTATACATACATACAAAATTTAACAACAATCGGTAGAGCAGTTTAGAAGATTACGTGTCTAATAAAAGTGGATACAGACACCAGACAGACAGACAAACCGACAGAAACAGTAGACTATTTTTTTGTACTCTAGGGATCATGAAACGTCGAGAAAATATAAAAGTGGCCATTCGTCCGATGGACTCGATTACTGTACTTCCTTAGCTAACGCTCGAGAAGTAAAAAGATGACTAAAAGGGAAAAAAGGCAACAAAATGTAATAAGAAACGCACAAAAGATATTAAAAAAAAGGTTATAAAAAAATTGAAGGAAAAAAATAATATAGGTAATGTACATTTAATTTTCCGACAAAAAACACGATAAAAAAGGTGCTTAAAAAAACAAGACGACAAAAAAAAGAGAACATACCAAGGGGGCGACCAAAAATAGCGACAAAAAAACACAAAAAATTCGATAACCAAAAGGGCAAAAAGGCAATTTTATTAATGCGAATAAAAGTTCATAAAAATGCGATAAAACGTCGATAACGATAAAAGTTGATGTAGGTAATGCACATTTAATTTTCCAGAAAGCACCCAGAATATGAGAAAATTGTGACAAAAAGTCTATAAAAAAATACTATAAGAAAAGTCAATAAGAACCGCGACAAAAATACTCAAAAAAGACGATTATTAAAATCACTGCAAAAAACTAAAAGGGCAAAAAAGGTGACAAAAAAGTCCACAAAAATGCGACAAAATAAGGTTCATAAAAACGCTACAAATTACTAAAAAGAGATTAAAAAAGAGGCAAAAAATACTTAAAAAAAGATTATTAAAAATGAAATAAAAAATAATGTGTGTATGGTTACTTTTCCAGAAAACATACAGAAAACAAATTAAAAAATGCGATAAAAAAAGTGATAAAAAAGGACCAAAAACGGCGACCTAAAAAAAATAAAAAATGAAGAACAAAACAACAAAAAAAAAAAGACCAAAAAATTGGTCGAAGGTAATTTCAACAGAACTTTCCTCGCCTCTGAAGTGCAGCCAAATAAATCCCACTTTTTCGAAAAATTTAATTTTGTTTTTGCAATTTTGATTTTCTCATATCCTCTATAAAGTAAAATTTAGTGCTGTAAATAATGATCCCA